ATTAGGCACTGCTAATTAACACTTCTTTTCCTTTCCCTGTTTTACTTCTGACACCTTCTCTGATACCTCCATTAATCATTAATCACTATTATAGGTGTTTTGACTTTGTTCTTTGCTAAGGATATCTCCCTCATGGTTCTCGAATCTCAATCCACCATGTGCAGTTTTGGGTGTTTGTTAATGGTGGGTTGTACTTGGAGCAGCCGTATCTAGGGGTGTCAACGGGTTGAGTTTTTGTGCGGGTTTTGGTTCAATCCAATTTCGACGACCCGAAATCACTCCATCAAAGCATAATTGAAAAAGGTTAATTAGTGACCCACATCTGGATTCCAACCCACCCATGAACAGGGCCAAAGTGACATTTACTGTTTTTTTTTTTTTTCAATGTCGTTATGTCAATTATTGTTTCGTGTTTGGTTTATGTCAACTCTAATAAGCTATCCGATTAAGACTAATCAAGATGAATTTATCACTTAACCTAATTCACTGAAACATCTAGCTAGCAGAAGCAGACCCTACCTTCTTATTGCTAATTTTTTATTTCTGATTTATTTTTGAAGAAACCAAGTACAGACTTAATGGTTAATGTGATGGATTCTTTCCTAAAGGAATGAAATAAATGTGATAAAAGTAAAGGCATGCCTGATGATTGGCTCAATTGTTCTTCTATTAAACTGGACGCATTCTGGATCCTTGTAGGGCGGGTGGGCTGGCAGCACATGGACGGACATTGGTGGCTATCAAAGCATTCCAATCCAAAAGTCTTTGAATTCCGAAACCCAATCTATATATCTATCTATCTATATATATATATATATTAAAATTGGTCCTGCCATGTTAGCAGGAAACCCCTTATTATATTTTTCTGTTTTTTTTTTTAAATTTTCTTAATTTTTTAATCCATGTAATTATCTCACAACCAATCTTTAGGAAGCTTGGGAACGTTTGGACTTTCAAAGCCCCTCCTGCCCATGTTTGCCATTAAATCCTATCTTATAGGAAGCGTAGGAACTTTGGACTTCCAAGCTTTTCTACAAAAACCATTGGACTCCCTTGCATGTTATCTCTTTTCTTTTTTTTCAGTCTGACTTTATTCAAGTATCAAATTCGCATTCACTCGAGCAAACATGATTTAGCTTATAGAATCTCAGCAATTCTCCAATTTGCTTGTTTAGACTAGGTACGTATTTGCTTTTTTTTTGCGAAAGATAGATTTGATTAGGTGATTTTTTTTTTTGCATTATTGGGTGAATTATTAAGTATTTTTCTGATGTTGAGTATCAAAAATAAAATCGACTCATTAAAATGTAGAGAAAACAGCAAGAAAAAGCAATAAAAAATGATAAAAAAAGTTAACCGGGTCGTCGCATAACCTGTTTCAACGGTTGGGCGAAGAAGACAATGAAAACGGGTTTTCGCGATCCGTTTTTGATAGAATATCGGGTAAGTCCGAACACAACCGTTTTAGGACTGTTCGCACCAATCGTCCATTACACGGTTAATTACAATAATTAATGTTGATTAACATTAACAGTAATTAACGTCAATAAATTTAATGTTGATTACGTGAATTGGTTGTGAGATAATTAACGACCAAATGTTAATAAATACTGTATTAACGTCAAAAAATTTAATGTTGATAAAGTGGATTGGTTGTGAGATAATTAACGTCCAAACATTAATAAATACTGTAATTAACTGTAACCACAGTATTATTTATTGGTTGACGTTAATAATTACAGTATTATTTTAATTACAATACTTTTTATAATTACAGTATTTTTCTAATTTTTAATAATTAACATTATTTTAAAAATACAGTATTTCTTAATTAACAGTATTAATTACAATATTAAATTAATTAGCAGTAATTTTAATAAATACAGTATTTTGTAAATTACATTATTTTTTTAAAAACAATGTATTTATTAAATAACAATATTTAAAAAAAAACAACCAAAAACTATGTAACTATGTTTATGAAAATATGTAATTAACAGTATTTAATTTAGACTATTTAATAAATACATTACTTTTAAAAAATAATACATTTTTAATTAAAAGTAATTAACAGTAATCAATTAGGTTGATTAACATTAACAATAATTAATTACTGTTAATTACTTTTAATGAATTAATTATTATTAATACAACATAATTGATTACTGTTAATATTACCAGTATTTATTAAATATAGTATTCACTGATTAGAGTAATTTAATAATTAATTTTTTTTTATAATTTCAGTATTTTTCAGAATTTTTAATAAAATATATTTAATGACATTTAAATAATTAAAATATTTTAATAAATACAGTATTTATTAATTACAAGTATTATTAATTACTGTATTTATTAATTAACAGTAATTTAATAAAAATATATTTATTAAATAACAGTATTTAAAAAAAAAACAAAAATAAACTGCAATTAACAGTAATGTATTTATTAAATAACAGTATTTTCAAAAAAAGAAAATTAATAGTAATTATTTTTTATAATTAACAGTATTTTGATAATTTTTAATAATTAACATTATTCTAAAAAATACTGTATCTATTAATTAACAGTATTGAATACAGTATTTAATTTACACAATTTAATTATAATAATAAGTGATTATCACAAAAATTAACCGTAATTATTTTGATTTACACTATTTAATAAATACATTATTTAAAAAAATGATATATTTTTAATTAAAAGTAATTAACACTAATTATTGTAATTAACAGTAATTATAATCTAAGCTATAAATAGCATAAAATTACACATAATTATCTGGTAATTATATTTAATTAGTTTTTGCCAAGAAATTACCAGTATATTTTCTAAAAATATGATGATTTCCAGAAATTTATATATATCTATATATATCTATATATATATATATATATATAAAACTGGACATGCCATGTCAACATGTCTCTCATTTCTCCCCCACTCTTTTCCTAATTTCTCAGAATTTTGAATTTCCTATTTTCTTAATCCACATAATATCACTTAAACCAATAAGACGAGTTTGCAGCGAGATGTTTTGTAGGAGGTGTTTGGACTTCCAATGCATCTCCTGCCACAGGCTTTTATTTCAAGGATACTCCAAACTCCTCTCTATTTTCTTCCAATGCATCTCACTCAAAGTTACAAAGCCACCTCAGACATTAAAAATATGAGATTGGTGAACACAGAAGAATAAAGCCACATCCTCCAGTTTTTTTATTGTTATTCAGTGAACACATATCAGGTATTTTTAGATTATGTGTTTTCTATTTTTCTGGGGTGCTAAATCCTATTTTTTGAAAGTAAACTCTGTATCATTCTTTAGTTTTTTATCATTCTGTATTGTATTCACAGAAAGTAAACTCTGTGGCAACGTTGGAGATAAATCCTATTTCAATAGTTTCAAGTACGTTGGAAATAAAGTTTTGAAGAAGTTTACAGATTGGTAATGAGAACGTTGGAGATAAATTTTAGGTTAGTAATTTTTTCTTTGTTTTTTGTTTTTCATCTTATAGTAAGTTGGAGAGATAAGTTTCATTTTTCTTTGTTTTTCAATTTTCTTTAGAAATGCATCGCTTTTCCATTTTAGGGTGGTTTTTCTGTCTTTCATTTTTCTTCTTCCTTGTATTCTGAAATGCGACTTTGGTAACTCTTTTCCATTTTAGGTTAGTTTTCAGGCGTGCTTTTCACCAAGAAACACTTCATTCAAGTCGGTTCTGGCCTTTGAAAGCTTAATGTAAAATACATTAATGATATCTATTATGTTATAAATAGTATAAAATTACAAGCTATAAACGATTTAATTAGAAGTATTTACAATTGCATTATTATTCTTAATTTTTAATAATTAACATTATTTTAAAAAATATAATATTAATTAATTGCAGTATTTAATTAGAAATATTTATAAATGCATTATTTCACTTTTTTTACCAAATCCCGTGATAAAAGTAAAGGCATGCCTGATTATTGGCTCAATTGTTCTTCTATTACACTAGACGCATTCTGGATCCTTGTAGGGCGGGCGGGCTCGCAGCACATGGATACTGGTGGCCATCAAAGCATTCCAATAAAAAAGTCTCGAATCCTGAAACCCAATATATATATATAAGTGGTCTCAATTCTTATCTTCCAGCCTAGAGACTGAGGCCTGCTTATCCTTGCAACTTAATACATCAAAACTATTAGTGGCTCGGCGGCTCCCATCATGATGAAGATTTTTCTTCGGTCTGGAAATGGGCAACCCGAACCCGAACCCAAATCTGATTCTTTTTTTCTTTTTTCTGTTTTAAACCCAATGGGTTATGCTGGTCCTTTTGTCGCAAAATACTAGGGCTGCAAATAGATGAGATTGAATCGGATATAGGTATATCTGATTTTATATATCCATCAAATGTCTAATGGTTTCGAATTGATAAGAATTACAATTGAATATTAAATCTTATAAATAAATTTGACTTCAAAATATTATATATTATTAATAAAATGAACTAAGAATGACTTTAATATTATATTTAATGAACAAAATCAATTGAAAATTACTTGTATACAACTTGAACGTATGACAATTTAGTAAAAATACAATATTGAGACCTAACTTGAACAATAGATATAATATAATCTTTAAATACATATAAGCATATATGTTTACCGAATCGAATATATTGGATCGGATTGGGATAGATCCATATTTGATCGGATTCAATCACCTTTAGATCACATTTGAATTCAAATTCGGATAATCAGATACCGTTTACAGTCCTAAAAATAACCATCTCCAGCCTCAAAAAAAATTAGAGAAACTATCATGTCAGAACTCAGAGCCACAGTGCAGTCATTTCAATTCTCACAATATTAATTTGACAATAGATAAGAGAAAAAAAAAATAAAATAACAACATTGTCAACGGAACTGCAACGTTGACAAAGAGGAAATTAAGAAATGGCGTAGAAGTAGATTTGGATTTCTAGGCATGTGAGCTCCAGGACATGGAAACGGGAGCCACCCAACCTCCAACTAGAGAAGCTACGGAGATCAATAAATGTAGGTCCATCAACACAGCCATCTTTACTGATCGAGTTCATTCCTGAATTCAACTCATCTCTCCATCTTTTGATGCCTTTGTCAGCAAAGGCCAAGATGAGCTCTTCCTTTCCATCTTTTCTTCTTCTTCTTTTTCTCTTTCTAACCGTTGTGTTAGTCACTACTTCGTCTGTAGCTCAAGCTCAAACCCAGTTGAAGAACAGGAGCTTGAAATCTCCTTTCTCCGCCATCTACGTGTTCGGGGACTCAACTGTGGATCCTGGAAACAACAACTACATAAAAACTCTTCTTAAGAGCAATTTCACACCCTATGGAAGGGATTTTCCGAATCACAAGCCGACTGGAAGGTTCACCAACGGGAGGCTTGCCACAGATTTCATTGGTAAATTAATCCAGTTGACGTAGAATATGGTAATTGAGCTAAGCTAAGCTAGATTGTGAATGTGATTAACTTTTGGTAAATTGAATACAGCTTCATATCTGGGACTCAAAGAATTCGTGCCACCTTACTTGGATAAGACACTTAGTCTGCAGGAGTTGATGACTGGAGTCAGTTTTGCCTCCGCCGGGTCCGGTTATGACCCACTCACGTCGCAACTGGCGGTCTGTCTCTACTTCTTATGCAACGTATCAGGGTGTATCGGCTGATACGTATCATATGGATGATCCTCCGATATGCCCCTGAACCAGTTTGACCAAAAAAAAAAAAGAAAAACTAAAAGCGGCCAAAACTACAGGCCGATACGCCTCCCCCCCACCTTCATTATCAATCTTCTCAAGTATCCCAGTAAATTTATAATCGAATTGGTTGATTTGTTTTTGATGGACTTCTTTGATTTCAGAGCGTAATTGACATATCTAAGCAGCTCGACTACTTCAGAGAGTACAAGACAAGGCTAGAACAGGCAATTGGAAAGAAGAAAACTGCTAATATCATAGAAAAGTCTGGGGTTGTCATCAGCTCTGGTTCTGACGATTTCATGTTCAATTACTTTTTGGTCCCAATTCGTCAACTGGAATTCACTGTCGATAGTTACCAGCAATTCCTGATACAAAATCTCTGGCAGACAGTAGAGGTTTGGCTCCAATATCCTCTTATGATGCACGAAAGCCCTACGATGAGTTTTAGCTTTAGTCCCCACTCTTAATTTTTTTTGAGAAATAAGAGGGGGAAAGTTATTCCCATTAATCAATTTTACGGTGTTCTTTTCTTAGTAAGCTCTAAGCCTCATGGAAAGTTAGTTTCTTCTTTCTGGATATCATTTACCCCGGTATTTAGTAAAACCCAAATAAATGATATACTCTTGGAGGGTAAATAACTTTTCCAGCTGGGAAAATGTTTACAAAATATAATGGGACATGTATTTTAAAATTGATTTTTTATAATTAAAAATGTCATTATATAATTTACCTAAGAATCAAAAGAACATGAACAAATTAACTTATCCAAATAATTATTTCCCATGAGAAAATATTTAATTAGATGATTGTACTTATCCAGATTGGATAAGTGGCCTTGAAAAATGAGTGGGACTGGCTGCTGCATTTGGCATTCCTTATTTTAAGGACTTATCTCATTTTTACAGTTAAGAATTGGTATTCAATGAGGTATTTTAACTACAAAAAAAGGAGATAAGTCCTTAAAATAAGGAATGCCAAATAAAGAGCCCAGATTTCCTACTCACTTTTCCTATCCACTCTCTACCTGCAGTGAATTGGAGTCACACATCTCTCAATTCATAATAGAGATGTGTGGCTCTAATTCACGGCGGATAAAAAGTGGATAGGAAAAGTGAGTAGAAAATTCCGAGTGCCAAATACAGCCTTAAAGTGAATTAATGGAAGCTAAGCACTTGATTGTGGTGGCAGAGTTTATGGAAGCTTGGAGTTCGAAAGATTGCAGTGTCTGGACTTCCTCCACTGGGTTGCTTGCCTCTGGTTATCACCCTTAACCCAATCAATACAAATGAAATCATAGAACGAGGTTGCATCGAGAAGTATTCATCTGCGGCAAGAGATTACAATCAGAAGCTCCAAGTTGAATTGGCAACCATGAAGAAACATTACGCAAAATTGGGGGGTCGAATAGTCTATGTGGACATATACCAGCCATTGCTCCAATTGATCCAAGGACACAAACAGTTTGGTAAGTCACCTAACCTGAATTCATGATATATATCGTGAGATGGTAGTAGAAAACCAGAACATGGTCATCAAGCTGCACAAGGGGTGATGGACCGGGCTGGGCTGGGCCTCCTACCTGCTATAAAGAGCATCATGCAATCCTGGGCCTTGTCTTAGGGCTGCAAATGGTGTCGTATTCAAACTGGATTTCCTGCTCACTACTCTTTATCCACACTTAACCTGCCGATGAATTGTAGCCATACATCGCCATCTTGCAATCTGAGATGTGTGGCTGCAATTTAATGCAATAATGCGTATAGAGCGTGGGTAGAAAAAGTGATTAGATCATATTCCAATTGTCTAAAGTCAAATTCGAATTCAATCCCATTAACACTTAAGAGTGATACAAAACTCCATTTGTTTATAATTTTACTCATATTGGATCAAATATGGATCCACGTACCCCTATCCAATTTGATTTCATATGTACTTAGAATTTATATTGTACCTATTGGTTGGAATGTTGTGTTTTATTAAATTATCATAGGTTCAAATTTCATACAGTTTCTTACCAAACAAGTTTCATACAATTAATTTTCAAATCATTTTGTTCATGGGATACAATACCAAAGTCATTATTAGTTCATTTTATAAATAATATACAATATTTTGATCATTTTGACTCTAATTTGATTATATTATTCGAATGTCGGATTGCAATCTGAACTCGATTCAAATTTAATATAAATCAATTGAATAAGATCTAATTCAAAAATATAAATGGTCAAATTTAGATCTGTCTATATCTGATTCAATTTGATCCATTTGTAACCCTACCTGGCCTGGTTGGCCAAGACCACCACTGGCTAAAATATACCGGCCTGGTTGGCCCAATATGGTCCGGTTCGATTCTGGTAGGGGCTTATAAGCTTATTAGGACGGTCATATATAAGCTGTTGTGACAGAAAGCATTTGATGATATGCCAATTTTGTTTTTGACATGGATGCAGGTTTTAAGGAGTGGAGGAGAGGATGCTGTGGAACAGGGCTGGTTGAAACAACGTTCTTGTGCAATCTCAAGTCTCCAGTTTGCCCGGATGCTTCTAAATACATCTTTTGGGATTCTGTTCACCCAACGGAGAGAACATACTTCCTCATATTCAACACCTTTAATGCCACTATTAATACCCTCCTAAATTAGCTCTCTTATTCAATCTTCCAACTTCTTCTTCATTATTGTCATCTTATGCTTTGTCACCACCTCTATGATCTATCTGTGGCAGTCTTTTAACCCACATATGCTTTGTCAACAAGTTTTAAGTATTTAGCCATGTTTCCTCTTTTCACTGAAAACGGGTCTCTTTCGGTGTGTCCGCATTGAATTTTTAACTAAAAGTACGCACATATATACACACATGATGAAAATGACAATACTTAATTTTGTTTTATTTGGACTGGAAAGGTTAAGCTTGGCAGACAACTCTAACCCTAAATGTGGATTCCTTAAAAAAGTTAGGAGGTGGGGTGGATTGTCAATACATTATAAGGTTTGAGTTCAATTAGAGTTAGAGACTTGAACTCGAATTCATGAGACCATTCATTCTCCAAGTGCCTCAAATTCATTTGCAACCAATGTTGTAGAATTAACAGTAGAAGTATAGAACCATAAAAACTCCATTAATGGTGGGTCCCCATTAATTGACATCAATTGATTTTTTATTTCAAAACACTGACTTATTCACATTTCATTAGAGGTCGGTCATATACATCAAGTAATTTTCTCCTTTTTTTTATTTATTTTCAAACGCTGATATATCCACATTTTATTGGAGTGATACATCACCTGTTTTTCTTTTCTTTTTTTTTTGTTTTTTATTTCAAACTCTGGTTTATTCACATTTCATTAGGGGTCATACATCAACTACTCTTTTATTTCAAACATTGGTTAATTAACGTTTCACCGGAGCCATACATCGTTTTTTTTTTTTTTTTACTTTAAACTATTGGGGCGCCCCTGCAATACAAGAACACATTAAATAGGCAAAATAGGCAATTTAATTCATCTAGCAGATTTGAAATTAGTTACTTGGGTAAATGAAGCAAACTAATTTAGTGTAATTTAATTAGTTAATTTAACTTAATTAAATATGATAAATTGATTAGTTACTAATTTAATTAATCTAATTAAATACTTAAATTATATTAATTACTCAAATTTTAAAACAAATAATTCTATAATTACAATTAATAACTTTAAATAAATAATAAAATCTTAAAAAATACATTTAAGCAAAACATATGATATGCACTAAGATATTTTAACAAGTGTATACTGTTGGGGGTTGGAGGGGGAGGAATGGAAGGGAGTGGTTGAATTCTAGGAGAGAGAGAGAGAGAGAGATATGCAAATGAAAATGTTTTAAAATATTAGTTTGATTTTGTTTAGTGGAATTCAATTGAGATGTTGAAGAGATGTAAATGAAAAGGCCTGGCTTGACCCAAAAATTATAGGCTTGGTCCTAGGTTTTGTGTTTAAACTTGGTTTGGGCCTAGCCCTACAAATTTTTAGCCCAAGCTTTGGCCTAATACTTTAACCCAGCTCGAGTTCACATTAGGCTCACAAATTTCCAAGTCAAGCTTGGGCCCAACCAACCTAAGCCCACCTAAATCAAAATTCAAGGCTTGGGCCTAGGTTTTTGTTGTTCAAGCTTGGCCTCGGGCTTGAGTATGCATTAGGCCCACAAGTTTCCAAGTTGAGTTTGTTTCCAATAGTTCAATCCCAACTTGGGGCTTGCCTAGATGGAACATAACTAAAAGACATAATTAATTAATTAACTAAAAATATATTAAAAACAATTATTATCTTGTAAATAATATTAAAAGTTCATCCAATACTTCAATCCTAACTCGAGGCTTGCCTAAATGAAACATAATTAGAAGACTTAGTTAATTAATTAATTAATTATATTGATTAGTTGAAAAATATATTAAAAACATTTATTATCTTGTAAAAGTTTATGGAGAGAGTAGTTGAAGATATATGAAAATTTGAAAAATAGTATTATAATAGGAGTGGAGAGAGAGATACAATTGTTAATAGGTTGGGTCCAGGTAGAATTATAATCGACCCAACAAGAATTACTAAGGATTCGGAACTGAATCGAACTTGATATGGTCTGTAATTTTAGACCTAGAACTGAACCGATCGATTCTCGGGTCAATTGAGTCTAACCTAATGGACCCGATTATAATAAACCTATTGAAAATAGTATATATATAATAGTAATTTATTTAATATATATTGCTTGGGTCGAGTTTGAATAAATTCATGACTGGGTGGAACCGGCTCCAACTTGATAAGAATTGAGACAATATATTGGGAATCGAAACCGAACTAACCCAATCGGTTCGGGTCCATTTGGTCCAACCCGACCCACTGACAACCCTAGAGAGAGGTAATAAATGAAAAATAAAGAGAGTAATAACAATTTTGTGACAATTTTGTAATTACATGTTGATGGCACTCTTGTAATTAGTATTTAGTAGAAAACTCAATGTGACAAATAATGACATTTTTTGTAATTACATGAGAACTCAATGTCATATGCACAAATAAAAAAATAGCAATCATTGTTTTTAATGGCACTCTTGTAACTAGTAAAAAAACTCAAGGTTGTAATTAGTAGAAAATTTAAGGAGACAAATAATGACATTCTTGTAATTAGAAAATGTTCATGAACATCACACCAACCATTTGCGCCAAAATAGCAAAATATTTCACTTAAGCCTATATAACCTTCACACTCTAAGATTTCATTTCAAGTAAAATGGGCACTCTATTCGTACCCATTTTGCTTTTAACATATACTAGCGGAGGGCCCTTGCAAAAGATAATATACTTCTACAAGTACTTAGTTTATGAAATGAAGCGTCAGAAAGCCACAAAACCCTTCTCTCTCTAGACACCTGTCCCTACTAGGTGGCACATTATCCCCATAGTTCCTCTCTCTCTCTCAACATCGGGGCCTAAACAACCCTCTCTTTCTTTCTCCCCACAATTATGACACTAGGTCCCACACAATCCCTCTCCTAACACTAGGCCCCACTGGGTCCAACATAACCACTTCTTTCTCTCCCCTAACATTGGGCCCCATACAACTCCCTCTCACTATCCTCTTGATTATGATACTAGGTCTCATACAACCCCCTCCCCCTCTCCATCTCTCTCCCTCCTAATTGTGACACTTGGTCCCACACAACCCATCTCTCTCTCTCTCTCTCTCTCTCACTCACACACACACATACAACATCTGGTCCCACATAACCAATGTTTTCAACTCATTGTTGACCCAGTTGGTTGACCCATTTGAACCATCACCCAGTCATGATTCTAGACTCAATTATACTAAAACTGGGAATCGATCAAAAACCATCCGACCAGGCAGTTGGATTGTTGATGTGTCAACTCGGTCATAGGTTGCACACTCAATATATGTATAAACTTTCAAAGACCATAACTTTGCGCTTGGATGTTTGATTCGGGTAATTCTTTTTAAGGGAAATTTAGAGTTCAGTCAACGTCAGGGATTTTTATTAGGTTTTTGGGTTTTATTTACCAACTCCACCTATGATTCACTATCCCCCCAATGAATTTTGATTCATTCTCCCACCTATTACTCTTCCAATTGTATTGAGGTTTATGGGTGGATTTAACAATAAGAACCCCTTTTTTTTTTTACTTTGGGTAACTTTTTGAGATCTATGCTCCCAAATTGTCATAGCCTCGTAGGCACCTTGCCTCACTATTTTCACAAAAAAGAATTATTTTTTTGGCTTAAATACTAATTTTTAATATTTTTTACAAATAAAAAATTAAGAGAACAAAATAGAAAACAATTGCAATGAAAAATTGTGAGATTTTGAAGATAAATTTTAAGAGATTTAAAATAAATTTTATTTAAAACCAATTAACTAACACTAGATATATTATAATATGACACTTGTACATATTATATATAATTTTGTATTATATAATGTATAAAATATATTTTATACAAAAATGACATAAAATACAAAATATTTCATATATTGAACATTTATACATTTAGGGTCCGTTTAGTTTGTTGTCAAAATCAGAAACAAAATCCTTCAGAATTGGAATCGAAATGGTCTATTCCCATAGTCTGTTTGGTTCATATAGGAATGGGAATGGAAATGGAAATGGGAATTGGAATCAGTAGGAATGGGATTTCACTCCCAAGGGAGGGGTAGGAAATGGCCATTCCCTCAAATAGGGGAATGCTATTTCAGTAGGAATGGGAATGAGATTTCGATCCCGCTCAACCAAACAGTTGGAATTGAAAAAGCCCATTGTGATTCCATTTCCAGACCCCTATTCATGTGAGCCAAATGGGGCTTTATTATATAAAAATTGTTAGGATCGACAATACAAGGGTAGTTAAGTCATTTGTCTATGTAATTAAAGTTGAATAGTATATTTTGTCTGAGTTTAAGTTGTGTGTCCCATATTAGGGACAATATTGTCTTTTGTAATCCAACATATAGAGTATAATTACAAAGTGGGTTGACTGGGTGAAGTGACATTTCTTCTCTTGGACCAAACCCTTCCTTCTCCTCTTTCTCTCTTTTTTCTTCTTTTTCTCTCTTCTTACCTGGAATTAAACTAGGATTAATCAATGTATTCACATGGTATCTGAGCAAGTATAACAAGTTCAGATTTGCCCATATATTTTTTTCTTTTTATTGCCAAGTTCTCTAGGGTTTTGTAGATTTCTCAAGAATTCCTTGGAGATTAAAGGAGTGGCTGCAAATGAGTGATCATTTTTTTCCTTTAGGAGGTTTCCATGCCTCCAATTTGTGGTGCGATGGTTGTTTGTGGTGATTTGTAGGAAGCTCTCTAATCGATGGTACAAAGAGAGTAGGTTCGGGTGGTACAATGTTTAGTCGAGTGCAAATCTGGTTTGTGGTGTACAATATAGGTGTTATAGTGTGATTCAATGGTTGATGGACTACAGATCTAGTACTAGGTGTGTGGTGTGCTTTTGGAGGGTTTTGTGGTGTTGAAAGTGGAGAATAACAAAGTGAATTAGGGTTTTGTGGTGTGATATACTGGTGAGTGAAGAAAAAAAAATCAAATGTGGGAGATAATAGTGAACACAAGTCTAGTGTTATGGTCCCCCCCAATTACTTGAATGTTTAGATGACATCTATCAAATTAAATGGGGAGAACTATGTGCGATGGGCTAAATCTATAAAAGTGTTTGTAAGAGACAAGAAAAAGGTGAAACATGTGAGAGAGGAAAAACCCTCTTTTGATTCTCTAGGGTTTAGTGATTGGGAACAGGAGGATGTA